CCCCAAAACCCCAAAACCCCAAAACCCCAAAACCCCTAGAGAGTTATTATTATAGAATTTTATTTAACAGGAATAAAATGTTTCTAACTGAGAAGAAAGAAGTGAAAAAAGTGTTTATACCAGGATACACCGGCCACGTCCCTCATAAAAAGAACCTCCCACCTTCCGTCTTCATCGTTGAAAGCGATATTGCCAAGAAGGGCCTTGTCAATAAGGAAGCAAAGATCACTGCCGGAAGACATCCAGGCGCCTGAAGCTATTTAGGTAATACATTAACGGCTAATTGCTGATTTTATAGGTCAGAAGAATAGAAATATGAGCGCTGGGCCTAACCTTAAGGCAAACCATATGAAATACGGTAACTGGAGTAAGAAAGCTCCTAATTGGATCTGTGGACCGAATTATCAAATAAGATACCAGCATGTTCCTGGTTATACCTGTCATGTCCCTGGAGTGAAAGCTGAGAATATATTCGGGAAATCATATGCTAGGACTACTGCTACTGCCAACAGCAATAAGAGATTCAATAGGAATGTTGGACAAATCCCGAAATCAATTGAAAGGCATCAGGCTCATAGTGAGAACGAGTTCCGCCGCTTTCTCGATGCTCCAGAACTAAAACAGAATAAGGATTACCAAGACTATTCTGCTTCGCTTAACAGAGAGAAGTATAATGAGAAGAACAAGATTCTATATCAAGCTCCTGCTAGAACGGTGGGGACAATCTGCTCTAAGACGGGAACAGATTTCTTTAATAACCAAGGAATGAGAACCAAGCGCTTGATGTCACCAAAAGTGAGCCAGGATATGTGTAAGCTTTTTCCCACTCACCATTAGCATCCATCAAGGCTAGCACCATCAAGCCAAAGTTGTTGGAGAGCAACATAGTGAACGAGAAGAGGTTCTTCAATATGTCAGATGGATTCCAGAGAATCTTCACCAATGATGCCAAGGATGCCCAGATGACAGTTCCTATTAGTGGGTATAAAGGCCATAAGAGAGGTGATAAATCCCAAAATTTCTTCGGAAAATCCTTCAGAGAATGTGCCATACAGAGCAGAAAGTTGGAAAGAAGCCTACAAAGAAGATAATTGATGGACAATTTCAAAAGAAATCTACTGTTTAGCTCCATTAGGGATTCGAGATTATATATGAGGAGATTTGATTATTAGGGCTACATATAAGCTTTAAAGGGATTAAAGAGTCCCTAAAAGGCTCGAGAACTTTCTACTTTCCACAACCTCCAGAGACGTCTCTTTTATTTGCATCTGAGGATTTTTAATTGTCTTTTAGATCGTATATTATTGAATAAAATTCCAAACGAAAAATTTTAGAACAATTTTAAGATATATTAATAATTTTATATTTACTTTTATGCAAAATCAACCAGGGGAGAGATTAGCGGGGTTTTGGGGTTTTGGGGTTTTGGGGTTTTGGGG